CAAATTGCTTTATTTGAGCCTAAAATTAAGGTTGAAGCAATTATTTTTATAAAATACACTAATTTCGAATTAATTCTGTATTACAATTAAGCAAAATTCAATTAAAAATAGCTCAAATTGCTTTATTTGATCCTAAAATTGAAATTAAAGCAATTATTCTAATAAAAAACAATAATTTTGAATCAATTCTGTATTAAAATCGAGCAAAATTGGATTTAAAATAGCTCAAATTGTTTTATTTTGAACGAAAATTTATTCAAAACATTATTGTGTTGAAATATTTTGATTCAGGTTAATTTCCCGCTTAAAATAAAGCCAAACCGCTTAAGAAAATGACAAATTGCATAATTTCAGCCTAAATTTCGGATTCAAGTAATTATCTTCCACACAACAAGTTTTAAATCCGAATTTAGAAAACCACAAAACATGACAGATGCAAAACCAAAAACATGCAAAGTCCACCATAAATTAATTAAAGTATTAAAACTGTACTGTTACGTTGGTAATAACTAATAAGTATTCGCGTGGTGGACTTTGCATGTTTTTGGTTTTGCATCTGTCACGTTTTGTGGTTTTCTAAATTCGGATTTAAAACTTGTTGTGTGGAAGATTTGTTATTATTTTTTATTAACGCCGTTTTTGAAGTGTTAAAAATTGTTTTTCTAATTTACGTTTATAATACGTTTATTAACGTCTCTCAGTAGGAGTCGTTTATGACTATCTATAAAAGCACACTGTACTTTAATGAATTTAGGGTTATTTAGTTTTAGTATGCCGCTTCTGACTTGTCAGGTAACAAATTTTGCGTTGTTGCTTCGGCAATTTCGCGAAATTCGGGCGGAGTGCAAACTAAATTGTGTTGGCTCATATTTTATTTATTATTATTATGTTGTAACACTAATAACGAATAATTTGTAAATTTTATTTTTAATGACAGATGGCAGAAATGGTCCAAAAAATCAGGTGGGCGAGTGTCACCAACCGACACCAACTAACACAAAATTCGCTAGACGACAAAAAATATTTTTTTAATTAAAATAAGAAAAAAGGAGGCGCAAGTTAGAAAAAATAGCATAAAATACTCGTTTTATAATGGCATTGGCGCACTCATCCCACTTGGGATTCGTACGCCAAATCTCAACCCTTATGAAACTTGTTCTTTAATATACTATTTTGCTCGCCACAGTCATTATCATCATATATACTATGGACTGCGTTTGAGCTAAAAATTTGGTTGACAACCTAGGTAGGCAACACATTAAACTCAATGGTGGCAACTAATGGGTCTAATGAGAGACAAATGGTTTTTTTTGGTTAGTTAGTGTTGGGAATTTATTTAATGATGTTAAAAACAACAAATATTCAAACTAAGTACATTTTTACCTACAAATTCAAAGTCAAGACCACATCGAATTTTTTTTTCGCGATACGATCCAGAGGATTCAATAATAATCCTACCACCGTCTAATTTGAATGGGCTTACAAAAAGCTTTTGTTGCACGCAGTTTATTATAATGTCATTACCAAACGATATTCTTGTTTATACAGGGTGTTTCACATAATTTTACGAGGCCTGCGCCTGTAAGATGCGGTCAATAAAACATATTCCGATACGAACTCGATTACAAATTTTTAAAAATTGGATAATCGGCCCTAGTTTGTTAACTCTAGCAAAAATTACAACATTTTTAGTTAGTTAGTGTTTAAGATAGATATACTAGAATCATATTCATGTCGTCTCTTGATAGAACAAATGATAATTATTTCTGAAAAACTGCAATTTATGATTATTAATGACACAGTGATTAGTTTGACGACCACTGTCATGGGTTTCCAAAAATTAAATAATTAAATGTGTATTTTTTGAATCCAGTGTTTTGTGACTTTTGTATATTTGGGTGCGTACATTAGGCGCAAGCCTCGTAAAATTGTGTGAAACACCCTGTATAATGAATGAATTATAATACTAGCTTACAATCAAAGTAATTCATGATTGTACTTGATGTAAACTATTGTAGATATTCTATTAAAACTAATTTTTTCCCATTGTATTTCATACATGGATGTCAATGGCCACAGTAAATACGCGATTTGCTTATAGTCTAAGATCCGAATTAGGGTCAACCTTCGCCCATCTGCTTACCGTATGAAACTTATTTTTTATCAAATTTAATATGCAAAGGAATGTATCGCGAATGGGTTGCCTAAAAAAATATGTTCAAGGGTATGATTTATTAAAAATACAAAAATTAATAATTTTTTATTACTTCACCTACTTGCTTTCCAGAAAAATTAAATACCAATCGAAAATATGAAGCCTAAGGAGTATGAAAAAAATGGGTGAACTACTTTTTTCTGTTCACTACTATTGGGTTGCCAGGTATAAACAGGTGAGTCGATGTAGTGATTTGCACCGATCTGCTTGTGCAATAAATTATATATGAAAATAAAGATAATTTTATTGCGAACACGGTGGTATAAGGTTGCCTGCGAAAAAAACGTTCATGAATGAGGGGTGCCGAGCTTTGAAATTGAAAAATCGGAGCAAGAAAGATGTGCGACAGAGAGGTTAAAACTTAAAACTCAGTGGGACGTTGGATAAAACTTTGAAAAAATATGGAACTACAAACTTATTTTATTAGCTTCTTCAGTTTTCATTATTTTTTAATGTTTCCATATTGGACACTAAATAATAATTGTTTCATAACACAAGGATGAATAATTATATTTTTAAATTTACTATTAAAAAACTAAAACTCATCAAAAAATAAAAATTTGTAGATGTGCCAATATTGATAATGATAAACGTATTGTCACTTATAATTACACGAGAGCTTTTTTTTCGAAGTAAACTTGACATTTTAATAAGAATTTTGTTTTCTGGCAAAGGAAACAAAACTCGAATTAAAAATGTCAAGTTTTCTTCGTAAAAAAAAGCTTGAGTGTAATTCGGTAAGACAATTTAATGAATACGTAAATCACTAAATTAACAAATAAGGTGTAAATAAGTTTATTTAATTTAATGGAAAGTACTACTAGATTCAGACGCTTTCAAAAGTTAGGTTCCGTTTTGTTGCTGTAATAGTTAGGGCAAACTTTTGTCGCTGTCATAGTAACAAAAACACCGCGGCTTATGGGATTTTTACTTTTAGTGTATGAAAAAATTGTCATTATAAAATATAAAATACAGAAATAGATTTAATTTTTGATCGGTACTTATCGCCATTAAAGATTCAGAACGTCAAAGTCGACAAGAGTTCGATATTCCGTATAAGATTTCAGGACCTCAACAAATCAGATCTACAGATTGTATGAAACTGTGGCTTGAAAACTGCGGTTGCTTTTTAGATGGTTTTTCTAAATCAACAGGATATTGTTCAGGTGAATGAAAAAGAAAACGAATCTTGCGAATTAGAAGGTCCATTTAATTTTGTTGAATTGAATTCTGCATAATGTTCTGCAATGAAAAGAATTCGACATTTTTTAAGTTTTTTTGTATTAGAATATTTTTATCATTATCAATATTGGCACATCTACAAATTTTGATTTTTTGATGAGTTTTAGTTCTTTTAATAGTGTTATGAATTGAAATAAAACACACTGTTTTACTTCTCAGCGGACTGTATTATTTTTTACTAATAAACAATTTTCTTGCCATGACGACATTGCGTTTTGTGACCATAATCACAATCTCTGACTTCAAATGACATCGCGCGTAATTCAAAATCAAACATTTTCCGCCCACCTTGAAGTCTAAAGGGCTTCAAAATTAAACAAATTCTCTAAACATGTACAAGTAAATAAAATATTGTCTCCAGTACTACTGAATAACAAATTTTCAATTGTCCATATTGGGTAGAACGCACACTTTCGTCACTGATCTTTTATACAGGCCATTCACGGTTTTCACTAAAACCACCCGCACTACACTATCTTGACCAGCGTAAGTTTCAACGATGCGTCCAAATGGCCACTGTAGAGGAGGTTAATTGTCTTCAATCATAAGAACCATAGTTCCAACCTTTATATTGGGACAATTTTCATTCCATTTTGACCGAGTCTGTAGTTGATTCAAGTAGTCCCTATGCCATCTCTTCCAGAAATGTTGACGAATTCTTTGAATATTTAACCACCGAGATTTTAATGTTTTGGGAGAATTTGTGAGATCGGGTTCACAGGGTTGTATTAAAATGTCTCCGATTAAAAAATGTGATGGGGTCAACGGTATCAAATCAGTTGGTGAGGAAGAGAGAGGTGTTAAAGGTCGTGAATTGAGACATGCTTCTATACCTGTTAGCACAGTGTAAAACTSCTCAAAAGTTAAGATCTGMCCTTGAATTGTTCGCTCTAAATGTCTCTTCATACTTTTTACAGCAGCTTCCCAAAGTCCTCCTTGATGAGGCGACTTTGGTGGTATGAAACTCCATTTTATGTTCTGTTTTTCTAAATTTAACTTCAATTCTTCATTAGCTTGGGAMAGAWACTTGTACAAATCTTGAAGTTGATTGTTTGTTCCTATAAAATTAGTACCATTGTCCGAGGTGATCTGATGAGGAATACCTCTTCTAGCTGTAAATCGATGCAAAGCAGCAATAAACGCTTCAGTGGATAATTCTGTAACAAGTTCTAAATGGATTGCCTTTGTGGAATGACATACAAAAACGGCAACATAGCTCTTGCTTGTATGGACTCTTCCTCTTCTCTTGCTTTCTTTTATCTGTATGGGTTCCGCATAATCAATTCCACAAACTTCGAAGGGTCTTAATGATGCACAAATTCTAGATTTTGGTAAATTCCCCATAAGATACTTGGCTGGGGCTGGTTTCTGTCTGAAACATTTTACACAGTTGTGTAATATTCGCTTAGCTTCATTTCTTCCGGACAATGGCCAGTACTTCAGTCTGATTGTCGCTAAAAGTTGTTCATGTCCGCAATGATAAAGTCGTTCGTGTTTTGATCTCATAAGCAGTGTTGTTACGTGATGATGTGGAAGTATTATCGGATGTTTTTGATCTATTGCGACATTGGAATTGGACAATCTACCGCCCACCCTGATAAGGTTTGACTCATCGATAAATGGTTGCAATTTATAAAGTTTGCTTTTCTTGGACACGCACATTTTAGATTTTAAATCACAAAAATCCTGTTTAAATTCTTCTTGTTGGACAAGAAACAAAATTTTCCAGAGTGCCTTATCTAATTCTTCTTTAGTCAATGAATCTGTTCGTTTTTCCTTTTTCTTCATATTCGAAATAAATCTGAGACAATAGGCTATGACTCTTTTTAAACGTTGTAATGATGAAAACTTGTTGAGGATAAAATTTGCTGTCAAGTTAGTCAACGACACTTTGACTTTGTTTTCGCAATCAGGTAATTCGTTGTTTAAAACAGTTGGTTMAATGGGCCAAGATTCTTGCGACGATAACCAACATGGACCTATCCACCAAAGTTCCTTCTGAAGTAAATGTTCTGCAGTGCAACCTCTTGACAATATATCTGCTGGATTTTGTTCGGATGGCACATGTTTCCAAATTGCGATGTTAGTTAATTTTRGAATCTCTGAAATTCTGTTGGACACAAAAGTCTTGTAATTTGATGAGGAATTTGCAATCCAAGCAAGAACAATAGTTGAATCTGACCATAAATAATGATTTGTTATTGTCAGATTTAATGTTGAAATTATTTTGTTGAAAAGTCTTGCCAAGAGTAAAGCAGCACATAGCTCTAATCTTGGAATAGAGATTTCTTTTAATGGTGTTATCCGAGATTTTGAACACAACAGTCTACAACTTATTTGACCCTCTTTGTTCAAACTACGCAAATAGATACAAGCACCGTAAGCCTTATTCGACGCATCTGAGAAACCATGAATTTCAAATTCCACTTGATCCTGATGTATAGGTATAACATGTCGTGCTATACGCAATTCATTTGTCAATCTGTTTAGTTGCTGCTGTAAATTAATCCACTCATGTTTCAGTTTTATTGGTATTTCTTCGTCCCATTCAATTTGAATCTTCTATAAAGTTTGTAACATTACTTTAGCCACTGTCATAATGGGTCCAATTAATCCCAGAGGATCATAAATGCGAGCAATAGTAGACAATAAACTTCTTTTTGTAATTTTCTTGTCATTAATTTGTGAATCTGGGACCTTGTATTTAAAAATGTCTTCTGTAGCGTTCCAAATTAATCCTAGTGTCTTAATCTCTTCATTTTTATCAAAAATAAGTAACGTTGACGTATCATTCCTTTCCTTGATGCCTTGCAAAATTTCTCTATCATTTGAACCCCATTTATTGAGTTGAAATCCACCACCTTGTAATACTTGAATCAAATTATCTCTGATTGTTATAAGTTCTTCCTTCGAATTAGAGCCCGTAAGAAGGTCGTCGACGTAAAAGTCTTTCGAAATTGTTTTTGCTGTTTGTTCATCAATATTTTCTGTTTTAGATAATTCGTGTAAACATCTAATTGCAGTAAACGGTGCTGAAGCCGTTCCGTAAGTGACAGTCTTGAGACGATATGTCTTCAGTTCTTCGTCGGGTGAATTTCGCCATAAAATAAGTTGTAAATTTGCATGGCTATCGTCAATTCGTATCTGACGATACATCTTCGTTATGTCTGCTGTTAAAACATATTTGTAAAGTCTAAAACGTATCAAAATTGAAAAAAGTTCGTCTTGTATAGTTGGTCCAACTAATAATGCATCATTTAACGAAAGTCCAGAAGATGTTTTGCTTGAAGCATCAAAAACTYCTCTTAGTCTAGTTGTCTTACTTGACTCTTTAATTACAGGATGATGTGGCAAATAATAAATTAAATCATTTTTTAATTCGTGTGGTTCGACTAATTCCATGTGATCCAATGATGCATACTCTTCTATGAATTTGACGTAATCTTTTCTAATCGTAGGATTTCTATGTAATCTTTTCTCAAGATGCTTAAGTCGTTCAAATGCTGTAGATTTTGAATCACCGAGCTGTTTGATGTTTTCTTTGAGTGGTAAGGTAACCACAAAACGTCCATCAGAATTTCTTCTTGTTGTTTTCACAAAGTTGTCTTCACATTGTTGTTCTTCTGCTGTCAAAAGTTTGGAGTTATTTGCATAATTTTCTATTTCCCAAAATTTCGTTAATTGAGAATCCAAACTACTGAAGGTAGTGAAACATTTTGTTGATTGGGAATTTGTGTTTTCGTCGAGTCTACCAGAGACAACCCAACCAAAAACAGTGTTATATTGGTAGGCAATGTCCCAATTTAATCTGATCAAGTTGAAGTAACTCGAGAAATATTTCTGCTCCAAGAAGTAAGTCTATCGGACCAGGTTCCCAAAACTTTGGGTCGGCCAAATCGATGTTTGGAATTTTCCAATTCTTCCAAATAATCTGCTCGTCAGGATGTTTTGTTGTTATATTCGGTAATATAAGAAACTTAATTTCCTTTTCGTAGTTTGTAACTCTAGAACGAATCGTAACTGTTGTCATATTCTTCACTGTAGCCTTGGTTTCGTTAATTCCACTAATTTTCATAAATGTTGATATAGTTGAAAGGCCTAATCGTTTAACTAAAGCCCTTGTGGCAAAATTCGATTGTGAAGCACTGTCTAATAGACAACGACATAGTTGCCAACCTCCATTCGAATCTTTTACTTTCACGATGGCAGTGGCCAACACAATTCTTGATGTTTGTTGAAGTTGTGTTGTGCTTAATGTGACTGCTTCTGTTTCTACATCTTGCCTTTTATGATCATTGTTTGTCGATTCTGGTGCTGCCTTTACCAATCGATCTTTATGCAATAAAGTGTTATGACGTTTATTGCACCTTTTGCACGTCCTTGACGTGCACTCAAATGACATGTGTCCATGCTTTAGACAATTGAAGCATAGTCCTAAATCTTTAATTGTATTCACCTTTTCTTTGTATGATTGTTTCAGAAACTTTTCACATTTAAATAATGGATGTTCTAATTTGCACAGCTTGCAAATTTCTTCTTTGTTGTCTGAAAATACATGAAATGTTCTTGTAGTTGTTTTCTTGTTAACTTGTGGTACTGGACAAGAAAATTCTAATGCCGAACATCTTCTTTCCAAAAATTTGAATAACTCGTCTAATGTTGGAAGAACGTGAACGCTTGTGTTCGAAAATTCCCAATCCTTGCGCGTGGTTTGATCTAATTTTTGTTTAATTATGTGAATGATCAAAGTGTCCCATGAGTTTACAGGTAATCCTAACGCATCCAAGGCTCTTAAATGCTGCTTGGTTTCACTTGTCAAAGTTCTCAGATCAGAAATTGAATCTTTTCTGACAGGCGGTAAAACAAAAATTGACTGCAAATGCGTGTTACAATGTACTGCTTGTTATCATACCTATAATTATGACCGGCAGCAGTCAAAGACTCAATTGTTTTCAACGCTGAACCGACTAAATGGGTTTTCAAGTACAAAAATTTGTGCATATCCGATAATTTGCTATTATTGTGAATTATTGAATTGAAAAGATCGAAGAAACCAGGCCAATTTTCGTAGTTACCGTCAAACAGGGGAAGATTTACGTGTGGTATTTTGACATCGTCACTTGATACTGAAATATCTGGTACTGAAGTTATCGGAAGCATTGCTGTCGCTGCSTTGTTTTGTCTACCTTCGTCGATTGTCTCTTTTACTTGCGAAATCACTTTAAAATACAATTCTATAAATTGTTGTAATAACTCCTTGTTATAATCATCGTTGTCTGGCTTCTCTAAACTGACGATTTTTGGATGAATTTCGTTGAACTGTTTGTAGAGCGGTTTAAGTTCCTCTAACCTAACKTCAAGTTGTGTAATAACCGATTTTCTCACATTGGTTAAATCCAAATCATTGAAAAACGTCGAAAATTCATRTAACTGTGCTATTATGTTGTCTCGAGAAGCGATCAATTGTCTCAATTCACTGGTGTATTTGGGACGCATAATTTTTATAAAGGAAAAATCTGACCTTGTGTTTGGCAATGTGGTGAAGTGGCTCTCGWCTGAATGTTACTGCTCCCTGTATGTTTGCACCKGAATTTGCTCACAAATCCGGCTCGAACTGACCAAAATGTTATGAATTGAAATAAAACACACTGTTTTACTTCTCAGCGGACTGTATTATTTTTTACTAATAAACAATTTTCTTGCCATGACGACATTGCGTTTTGTGACCATAATCACAATCTCTGACTTCAAATGACATCGCGCGTAATTCAAAACCAAACAAATAGTATATTTAAAAATATAATTATTCATCCTTGTGTTAAGGAACAATTATTATTTAGTGTCCAAGATGAAAACATTAAAAAATAATGAGAACTGAAGAAGTTAACAAAATAAGTTTGTATTTCCAAATTTTTTCAAAAATTTCTCCAACTTCCCACTGAGTTTTTTAACCTCTCTTTCGCACATCTTGATTTGCTCCGATTTTTCAATTTTAAAGCTCAGCAACCCTCATTCATGAACGTTTTTTCGCAGGCAACCTTATACCACCGTGTTCCCAATAAAATTATCTTTATTTTCATATATAATTTATTGCGCAAGCAGATCGGTGCAAATTACTACATCGACTCACCTGTTCATATCTGGCAACCCAATACGGGCTATTAGAGGTGACGTCACAGACGCGACTGTACTGAAGCTAAACATACAGTGTTGCCAGTTGTGATACTAGAGTACCAAATTGATACTAGATTTTTTTTACTAGATATTTATATTTACTTGTAAACAAATAATAATTTATATTCTCAGCCAAATACACATTATGTGCATGTTAAAATATTTTATTTTGTTTTGTTTTGGTACAACCTACTCACTCCTGTCGTTTGCAACATTCTGGCAACCCTGTACACATATTTTTGAAGTACACAGAAAGTGAGGTTAGAACAGATTAAATTACCGAAATGTTGACTACAATTGTTAAAACCATTACGAAACGACACACATTTTTCATAGCAACTATTTCCTTAGAAACAATCTCCCTACACGTCCAGGATTCAAGAAATAAACTTTTATTTGTTTAGCTTCAAAGGTACAGTCATGTACCTTGCTGACGTCACACTAATAGAGCGTATAGTAGTGAACAGAAAAAGGTAGGCAACCCAATTTTTTCGTACTCCTTGCTTCTGGTATGCAAGTAGGTGAAGTAATAAAAATTAATAATTTTTGTATTTTCAATAAATCATATCCTTGAACATATTTTTTTAGGCAACCCATTCGCGATACATTCCTTTGCATATTAAATTTGATAAAAAATAAGTTTCATCCGGTAAGCAGATGGGTGAAGGTCGACCCTAGTTCGTATCCTCTACTATTATTAGTTTATTGAGTTTAACCGACGAGTCGCCTATGACAATTTTTGACATTTAGAGATAACTCGTTTAACCTCACTTTTCTGTGCATATTTTCCACAAGAAACACACTCAATATTCTATAAAATGGGCAGTTGGCGTCTCGAAATTGGCAAAATGGCACTTTATATCACTTTCCCTGTGGCCATGTTTCATTATTTCAACCAACCAGAATTATTCGAGGAATGGGTCGTAAAGACTAGACGGGAGCTCTACCCCCCAGAAAACACCACCCAACAACGGGAATTCCTCGAAGCCATTCAGAAAATTAAAGCCAAACAAGAAGCCGACCGGATCAAGGCCTTAGAACGCAGTGGAGGGTAATTAATAGACAATTGTTACATTTAAAAGTATTTAATAAAAAGTTTGTTCGGAAACATTGCATCATAAATTATGTTTTAAGAAAATATAGTCAACATGTCTAAATAGGAAATACATAAAATGGAAAAACAAACTTAAATAGTAGTAGAAAAAATTTGGTATCCCTACTATTGCATTTTGTTCTTCTGCAAATAAATTAAACCTGTTCCAAACACAAGTGGCACCGCACACATCAAAATACAGTACGTCTCGCCCCAAAAATCGGACACAATTCCTGATATGAGGGGCGCAGTGAGCCCCCCTAGAGACAGCGTCGTCTCAAACGTCCCCATGATACTCCCCTTTTCCTGGGCCGAAGCCCTCGCCAAAATAATTTCAGTAAAAGTGGATTCGAACAACACTCGCGTCACAGACGTCGGCAAAAGACTCAAAAAAAATAATGTAAAATTCTGGCTCAAACCGAGCCCCAAACAAGCCAACGTCAGTAGCACGAATCCGTGTTTTAGTCTTTGTAATCCCGAATCGTCGCTTTTGTACAAAGATTTTTGAGCTTTGCTCATCGCCAGACTCGTGACAATCGACACAACACTGGCAATTGCGAAAACGTATCCGAAGAGTTTGCCACTAATGCCGAAACGTTGATGTAAAATCAAAGCCAAATTGAACTGCATGACGTTCATTACAAAATCAACGATTAGTTTCATGGTGAATAGGTCCCAGTATTTCGGCCAGTTTACTTTGGTTAGGTTGGCAGCAGCGTTTTTAAGTTCGCTTGTGATTTGCATAGGTGGCTTTGATTTTTTTTCTTTAGTGTGGGTGTCAGCGATTAAGCAAATCAGTGCTGAAATGAAATGTGATTTTGGCGGCAAAATTTGAAAACTGGTTTTTACCAAAATTGACAGCAACCATGAGTGATATCAAGGCAAATATGATCGTGAAACCACTCTCATGTTCGCTCAAGTGTCCACCAATCAAAGCCCCGGAGATAAAGGCAATTCCACCTATAGCTTGCATTCGATATATAACCGTCATTTTCGTTTCTTTTGTTTTAATATTGTCGTCAAGTAGCGACTTGATAAGGATCGTAATTTGAGTACCGAATGCTAAAATTTGGGTTTTATTTCATTTTGTTATTATTTCCTCGAAGTTACTTGACAAAATCCGGGATATGAATAATACAGTCAGAGACGACACTAATGTCACTAGAAAATTGCCAATAAAGACGAAAACGAGACATAGCAGGAGCATTTTTTTTCGTCCAAGACTATCACTTAAACTTCCCTTAAAAACAATTGTTTTAGCTGAATTATTTTTTTTTAATTTACTTACCACTATCGGGTTCCAAAATAGATTAATTAAGGCTGAGAGTGAACCCAAAACTCCCAAATAGAATTGGGTTCCACCTAACGAAAACGCATAGGGATTTATTGCAGTTATGACCAAAGCAAAAGCAAGTGCGTCCTAAAAATTTTACTCAAAAATAAGTTATTAATAGTATAATCCATTTCATTGAAACTGGCATAACAGTAGGCTATGATTGTGTAAACCGTGCTTTAAATGTGAAAGAGGCTTTACATATTAAGGAACTAAATTTAGCATTAAAAAAAATGAGGTTGAGATAGTTAAAATTTTGTTTTTAAAGAACCCTCCTTCAGAGGTTTTCAGAGCGGGTTTTTTCCATAAGAAGTTTAACACCCTGTTTCATCCCAAAAACAAATTGATTATCTTTTCAAACATACCTTAGTGTACTCTAAATCTGGAGTTCTGAAGAGACCAATTTTTAATTATAATTTGAAAAAATACTGGGAATAACGCACAAGCAACGAAAACAGTGAAAAAACAAATACAAATGTCAGTCATGTCACTTTAACAAACCATGTAGGTAAGTAATCAAAGAAAAACAAGAACCCTGCTATTAAACCAGGGACATGCGTAGGGCTACAAACTTAAATAAATTCCATAACCACCTGTTATGCCAATTTAAATGAAATCTACTATAACATCCCGAATGCGGCCCAAGTTGTCGATAAATTAGAATCAATTTGGCATGCACGAGAGGTATTCTGCAGACTATTTCCTGAACAAAATTTAGAAAAACAATATTTTCATTTATGAGAAATTAAAAAAAAATGTCAAAAAAATTGGTGAATCAAATCTTTCAAATTTTTGAGATTCAGCCAATCAGATTGGCGGTAATTTAGCACACATTAAATTTGAAAGATTTAATTGACTTAAATTTTGTGGGGGAAATAGTCAAAATAATTTTATTACCAAAGTGGAGACGGTGTATAAAATCGGTAAAAGCATCTTCATTCAATAAAACTCTACACTACAATGATTCAAGGAGTTTATTTATCTGATAACACAAATGTGTAACAGTAGATAACAGATCCTTGAAAGTGACTAGACAACTTTTATTTCCAAAAAAAGAAACAATAGAATCATCGCATTAAAAATTTCGTATGGGACCCTTTAACTAGCAAATCACCATTTTTTTTATTTTTAAGTTCAACTTCAAGGAATGCTAGGCTTTTGCCAGTTTTGAGCAGGCTTGCGTCAATTAGAACGTCGTCTCCTATTTTTGCTCCTTTTAAATAACTAAAAAAACGTCAGAATTTATTCCAAAAAAATATTTTCTTACCTCATGTGAATATCAACCGATACATTAGGGACTTCAACTTTTGTCATGAGTGCGTAAGTTGAAATACAGTCCACCAAAGTAGCCGAAAACCCCCCATGTAACCCGCCCATGGGATTGGTGTGACTTTCGTCAACTTTGAATTCTGCTGAGCATTTTCCACCACCTAGGGAGAGTATTTTTACCTGAAAAAAATCCATTTATCGGGTCTAAATCAGTTTTTGTACTCACTTTTTCTAAAACTTTATCAAATCCTTTGCTACTTCGTATAAAATTCATAAGACCTGCGGCCTCTAAAACACGTCCAGCCATGTTTCTAGTGCTTGCAAACGTTGTATTTTTTCACTATTAATTGTATTTACAGTCAAAGTCCTGAGTTATGTAATTAATTATTTATGCAAAAAATACATTCTTTGTGAATTGGATGACATAACCTCACAATTATCTGTCAAAATTGCTGTCATTTAACTAGACTTGAGATTTACCAGTGGCGTATCACAATTTTTTTTCTCTGGGGGCACAATTGAATGTGAAATTTACTTGAAGAGGTAGATAAAATATCTTTTTATAATACAGATGACATATTTTATTTTGTTACAAGTTAGTACAAAAGGGATATTTCTGGAAACAGCGATCCAAATCAAGATCATCCTTAACTTTCTCATTACTGACCACAATAAGCAAAGAAGTGCATCTCGACGCCATAATGTAAGCTTTCTTTCGGTCCTCAGCATTCTTATAATCAAAATCGTCTCCATCAAAAGCCATAATAACAACCTTAAACTCCAACCCTTTCACCCTCAAAGCCCATGTAATCAAAAAATTATTAATCTCCTTATGTTTCAAAAAATGTTCAACGTCGTGAACCGCATTTGGCCTAAAACTATTTTCGACAAATTCCTCATTGATATATTTATTGATAGTTTCAGGAATTAATTTTTCATTGACAAGAAACGGGATCACACACAAATCATGTGCTTTGATCCCTTTGCTAGAACACAAATCTATAATGACTCTAGCTAGGACCTTATCGATGTTGTTTTCTGAGTTCACCCAGTATACTGGAGGCCCACACACATGGTGTCCTATAGTAATTTCGGGTATGTTGACATTTTGTAGAATTTTCTTAGGGAGGAGGGGCATCGGAACACTGTAGAATTGTTTAAACACTCCAAAAATAAACCCAGTTGAACGCATGACTTTAGTTAGAATCAAAGATGGCGTTTTGAGGATTTGTGGCGATGGTTTGGGGAGGAAAAGAGAGGCTTGATTTATATCAACCATGAACCACAGCTCTCCCCAGTTTGTACCATCATGGGTGTGTATTTTTTCCAAAATATTGTCACTCGAGTGTACTATTGCATCTGGACAAGATTTAAGATTGCAATTACCGTCGTGGTAGTACCGGTAGATGGCGTTGAGAGTATTGCGGATAATTGCGCCATCTAGGGCCAGGAAGATGGCCTCAGCTTCGTCCATAAATACATGTTTATATGAATTTTTATTGTTTTTGGAGAAGTCAGACAATGAGATGAAAAATCGAATCGTGTCGACATATTTGCGTATCCCCAGAGCCTCCATTTTCATCTCCATGTCGTACCTAAAATTTTTTTAATAAATGCTTTTTACTAACATTTTTAATAAAATAAAACAATATTATAAAGAAGAATCAGAATTTTTTTCCCTCTTTTTTCGAAAATTTTAACGAAAAGATAACTTGGACTAGTGTTTCCACATTTTAAACATTTATTTAAAATTGTGTTTCTTTTTCACATAAGAAAAATATGAAAATACATTTATGATTTTCATGAACAAGGTGACATGTGATTTTGAAAAAAAATGCTAAGATTGGATAATGCAAACAATAATCTGACTCACAGACTGGAAGTATTTATTACCAATACATAATTCAGTGTTGCCAATGGACTTTTTTACCACAATCATTTAGTCACTTGTTGGTAAATATTTCTCCCTTCACTGTAAAAACAAAAAATGTCTAAAAAAGGGACCATTTAATGATAATTATTTTTCTTTCTTTATGAGTTATACTAAAAATATGTCCTTTGTATATGAGTCTTTGATTTTTTTTTAATTACGTACAATTAATCATTGTCACTTTCATATTTTGTTTATTATCTTTCGATTCCGTTAGAAACGTAAAATTTGTTATTTATTTGAGCATTAAAATTGTTAAATATTCCTTACCTACTTCTTGATTTAATTGCTCCTAAAACATCTTGAAAATTTGAATATGGAATGTATTTAAATAAAACATATAAAACAGTTGTCAATTCTGTATTACAATGAATAAAATATATTGTTTCCTTAAGTCTTAATCTCGTCTTAATTATCTGATCAAAGATTTTAGAGGCAACTGATAAAAGGTAAAGGTAAGGGGTTGCGAGTTGGCTATTTCACATAAAATATAAAAAAAAATTGAACTCACCAAAAATTAAAAAAATATATTGATTTCAGAAATTCAAAACTTACCAAAATTAAAAAAGGAATCAGTTTCTTGAATAGAAGATTATAATAAAAGATCATGAAAAGTTTCCAAAACCTGTTAAATGTTTCTACAGTAGAACCTAATTCATCAGAATCGCCATTACACGAAATCCATGCAAATTTTCAGTTTTTTGAAATGACTTATACATACATATTACTTTGAATGACTAGGGTTTTATTGTTGATTCACAAGGTGTATTTTCAATTTATTCTTAGTACAACACTAACAAATTTTTATTAAAATAAATAACCAAAATAAATTATTGTTTAAAATATTATAAATAAGGAATGCAGAAAGATAATAATTTACAATAGTAGAGAAAAATCCGGCCTTTGCAGAAATCTTTTTACTGATTTTGTTTCAATACAAAAAATAAGAATTTTGATTTTACTTTACAGGGTGTATCAGAACTCGCGCCCAGAGAAATAATTTTAAGCAAGATAAAATACCATGGAATAACATGGAAAAAATAATTAAAATATTCATAGAAGCCACAAATAATATTAAACAGAGTTACAATATAGGTTATTGCTTCCTTGTTTCCTCTTCTAATAGCCTGAAGCAAAAAAACTTGGAAAATTATTTTTTCAACAGAAATAAATAGTCAAAGTGCAAAATTTAAACTCTCATTACTTCAAGATTTTTATACTCAGATAGGATTTTTTTAAACATTTTCTTCATGTTCCTTGTAAGGTATCTTACCTTACATAACATTTTTCTCTGGGGCACGAGTTCTGGCGCAGTCTGTATATCTACTTTTACCTAATTCCAGGCCAGTAGCAGATATAAAGTGCTCGATTTTGTTCATTAAGTTTGCCATCCTGGTAAAGCTGCTGAAGTTTCCTTAAAACCAGCATTGTCTTACCAGTCCCGGCAGCCCCATGAACTACCAGCATCTTCTCTCGCCGCTCGACATCAGCATTCAAAAGCTCCATTTGTTCCTGGGTGAGAAGGGCCATCAACCCGCGATCAATTTCATCAACAAAAGTCCCACAACCCAAAATAATAAATCTGTAGCACTTAGGCATGAAACAAAACATTCACACAAACCTGTTCAAAAGTTTAAAAAAAGTGCCCTCGTCAACGTTGGCACCACTGAGCACATTATCAAAAAACCAATCATCAAATTTCAATTGATCTGAAATTGTATCTTCAAAAACGTGCAAATTGTGGTCCTCTTTCCATCGTTTGGTGACTTGTTGTTTGGGGTCTCGAGTGTTAGGACTTAAAAACGGCCACATTATGTAGTTTTGGATCCCTTTTTGGAGGGGTTTTTCGCCGAGGATGTTTTGGAGGATTTCTAAGTGGTCGCGAAGTTGGTGTTGAGCCGATCGTTTATTGTTTTTGATAATTTTAGCATCGCTTATTTTTTCTAAATTGATTCGAGTGTTGTTGTCATTTGTCGATTTGACTTCAACCAAAACCACAAAATGGCCACCTAAAAATCGCGCCAATTCAAAAACATAAAATTTACCAAATCCTAGTTGAAAAAGCTGCCAAATTTACACCTAAATTGACGTGAAGTTCACGTTTTTTTACATAATATAATCATTTTTATAACAATTTAATTATTGTTTTATTAGGTATGGTAACATCTCGTGGCAAAACTGACTTTTCAACTTCAAAACCTGCTTAAACTCTAGAAAAACGGAAAAATGACATCATTTTCAGCCTAATTCTGTGATTTTTTTAATGAAATTTTACGTTTCTAGCCGAAAAACTTTCGAGAAAGCAAAAATAAGATAATTTTTGACCGAGTGTGTTGATTTTTCTGTTTGTTTTAACGAAATCTCACGAAAAACTTGAGAATTTTGGACAAAAACGTGCATTTTCGCCTGTGAGTTCTCGGCCAAAAAAATAACGTCAATATCAATTCTTTTTGTGATTTTTAGGCGTATTTAGACAAGATTTTGCAAAATAATGAGATTCTGGTTCAAAAATTAAGTATGTCGGGCGAAAAAACTGAAAATTAATATCAATTTCCATTTATTTTTTTATAATTAAAGCCTCTTGTTGTTTTTATCTCAAAAACGTGCTTAAACAATCGAAAAAGGCAAAAATAACACCGTTTTGGCATATTTTGTTAAATTTCTGGCTTGTTTTAAACAAAATTTTGCGAAATAATTGTTTCTCCTTGAAAAATGTTAAAGTAAATTGTCATTTTCGACTATGTTTAGCAAATCTTTGATGTTTCTTTAATTTTTTAATTTGGCGAAATAATCAAATTTCTGGTTAAAAATTCTCGAAAAATATGTAAAAATAGTATCATTTATTTTTGACCTAATTTATTATTCCAAAAATTGAAAAATTGGTATTTTGTTTTTTTGTTGTTATAGATACAACAGTTTTTTTCAGTTTTAATATCATGTAATATTAGAATTTTTACAAAAGTTTTCACCAAATCATCAGACTAGCATGAACATTTCCAGATTTGGTGAAATTTCACGAGACCTGGCAACACGGGTACCAACTGGCAACAATGAAAACCCCAACCTTTAAATGTGACAAAAACGACAAAGTCGTGCTCTCGAATCATCAGTTTTCCAACTCTTTGATTACGAAAAGAATGTCCAGCATATGACGTGCTATGGAAGAAAAGCATCCACAAACCCCGAAACTTGTCATTTCTTCCAAATTGGGTTAATTTGTTGAAAATTTCTTCCTCTGCAAGACTCGCCTGTTTTTCCCCCGATTTTTGTAACACTCTCGGAATGCTGTACACCCTAGCGGCGCCATCTTGGGTTGGAAATTCACGTTTGATGTATCTGAAGAAGAGAAGTAATTATTGCAAGATCCTGTTTAACCGCTTTGCGCGCTGCTCAAAAACTGGTAGGCAGTCGTGGATTTTTGTATTTTTAGTTTGAACCAACTTGCAACATATTTATGCAAATTGAGCAGTTTGAAGAGAGTCACTTGCAGTTATTTTATGACAGGGAATTTATTGTTGGTAAGACTGGTGCGAAAATCCAAAATTTCCGTCTGATATTTGCTGATTAGTATTTGACAACAAACATTTGAAGGAAGTTGGCCATGAAACAAGTTCTATCATAAGAAAAGATAGGAACCCAACCCAACCATAATTTACTTTTTATAATCGTAATTAAGCTACCAAATTGGAATAACTAATGGAATCAAAGCTAAAAATGACTCACCGGTTTAGGTACTCAGTGCTGTCGACGCCACTGTCCTGCGAGGGTAGATAAATCTTGAGTTTCGGATCGTCATCTTCAGGATCCATTTCTTCACCTGTTACAACCATGGCTCACTTTGCTAATTATATTTATAGTATGGCACACGTTTACCGCAATGTATAAAACAATATATATCAGCTTATCTTTTACAAACAATTCGATTAATTACATTATCTATATCACTGAAAAATTATTTTTGTTTGTTTTTATTTCTCGCACCTGTTATCATTTAGCGGAAATTAGCAAATATTCTTATCATTATCAATTTTTAATTTGGACTCTGAAATGGGAATCCCCATATTATCTCGACCACATACTTTGTCTCAATAATTATTTTGACAATGGTAACATTATTTGTTTATTAAATTTGTTTTTATTATTTATTTGATTTGATTTGAAGATTTGTTTTTTAGATCCAATTTCCGGCTCGCTTAATAAAATATTATAACTTAAAATGTAATTTTGACCATTCTTACTAATAATTTTTAGTTTCAGTACTGAAAGGTTTATGCGCTATTATGTATACAGGGCTGTTTTTGTTAATACTATACATATTGCGGAAAATTGTTACACTTCATAGTTTTTTGGATGATCAAAACAATTAAAATCTATTTTAACAAGTTGATATTGTTAATAAATTGTTTACTTATACAGGGTGATTTTTAAATACATGACACTATTTATACAGGGTGTGTCATAACTAGCGCCCCAGAGAAATATTTCAAGTAAGATAAGATACCAGGAACAGGGGAAAAATGTTTAAAAAATTCTATCAAAACATTTTGACATTTATTTTTTGACATTTAACATTTTTTTATGTGTATTTAATGATACTGATGATCTTGTATATGTTTTTTTATAATTATTTAGTAAAGATTCAAAAATTTTGTCAATAAAAACAACAAATAACGTTAAACCCGAACTACAACTTAGAATACAGCTTCGTTGTTTCCTGTTCTAATAGCCTGTACAAAAAAACTTGGAAAACTATTTTTCCAACACAAATAAATAGAGTCAAAGTGCAAAATTTAAACTCTCATAACTCCGCAATTTTTATGCATAATTTTTTTAAACAATTTTTCCATGTTCCTGGTATTTTACCAGTACTAATACCTATGTCAAAATAAATTTTATTGTAAAATAGGTTATGGTAAGGGAGAAAATCCTTATCACAATTTACTTTTAATATGCGAGTACACCACTGACGCGCGAATCGATAGGTGCCGAGATGGGGATGGAAAAGGGGAAATCTTTAAAATCTTAAAAAATATATTTTAAATGTGTCTACACCTACCTTTTCTATTTGGATCAGTTTAAATATTGTATATTTCAAAATCACCCTGTATAACTAGATCGTAGATACAGGATGTTGCAAACCATAATTCCACTATTTAATGTCAAATTTTAATAAATTTGCATTAAAAGAAAGGGTTATTAAAACTAGAATTCTAAAAACATAAACACTTTTAATTGAAGGATAAATAAATTTCTGTTAAATTAACATAAAATAATTAACTTCCCATCCTATTATTTAGAAATTGGTAGATATTACATAAATAATTTAAAAATTACTTATTTCATAATTGACAACATTTTCTGTTATTAGTTTTATAAAAAGGGCTTACAATTGCGGAATTAAAATTTCGGGCAGTATTATCATTTTCATAATCTAAACTCTAAAACAACCTTTATATTAATAATCTCATTTTTTACTCTTGTTATGTTTATGTCATTCTGACTTATTTGCTTTCAAAAATAGTGATTTGTGGCATAATAACGGGTAAGCAGAAGATCAAAGCGATTATTTAATTATACTTAGTTTAATTAATAAATTTTCTCAGACAAATTGTTTAATTAACAATTTTAACAACAAAGAAAAGTTTAATTGTCAAATGTCAGTTATGATGACAGTAAAAGGTAATTTACAGTGAACTTTTTAAAGTGTCAGAAAAACACTGCCAGAAATTTTAATTCCGCAACTGTATATACCAATAAAAATCAGAAGAAGAAATTTATTTATTTTCTTTTTTTATCAGGAGAAGTATTTGAGCAAGCAATTCTCATTTTTATTATTTCTATTTAAAATAATGGATTTAAATATTTCAACACACCTACAATTTTACCTCTGCATAATAGTTGCATCTGAATCAAGGTTCTAATCCTGTTGCCAACTCAGTTAAAACTAATGTCTTCCTGGTTTCTAAAATTATAAAATTTATAGTGTTTATTATTACATAATACACACCGTATTTGTCACCTTTTGAATTTTGTCACGATTTTCTTATTTGTTGCAAAAATTATTCTTTTACATATCAGAAATTATGCAATTTACTCTTTGCGATTGATTTTTCTGTCTCAAGATGTCAAAAATACGTCGATTTGCTTTCTGTTATTGATAACATTATGTCACGAATTTTAAATTATACAAAAATTAGAGTTCCTATATTTAACGCAATAGGACACAATAGAATTGGTCATAATGACAGAGAACAGAGGTCAATTTTTATTTGACAAATTTTTTTTAACTTTATGTTAAATTTTACCAAAATGCCACTGATTTGTATCCAATTTTATTGTTATTATACGTCAGCCGTCGTATACAGGATGCGCCAGAACTCGCGCCCCAGAGAAAAATGCTATGCAAGGTAAGATACCAGGAACATGGAATAAATTTTAAAAAAATTTGATCTATAAAAATTTCGAAGTTATGAGAGTTTAAAGTTTGAACTTTGACTCTATTTATTTCTGTTGGAAAAATAATTTTCCAAGTTTTTTTACTACAGTCTATTAGAAGAGGAAACAAAGAAGCTGTATCCTAAATTGTAACTCTGTTCAACGTTATTTGTGGCTTTTATTGGCAAAATTTTTGTACATTTACTAAATAATCGCAAATAGAATTTTTTAAACATTTTTTTCATGTTCCTGGTATCTTATTTTACTTAAAATTTTTCTCTGGGCGCGAGTTCTGGCACACCCTGTATAAAAGAAAAAATAGAAAACTGACATTCAGTGTCCCAACTCTTCTAATATAGGAACTCTAACAAAAATAAGTTGTCAAAAAATGACATTGACGACCAAAATATATTGCATGCGACTGGATTTGTTGCTTTTTTTGAAAACTTGTCATTGTAGCGATATTTTGAAAACAAAATTATTTCTGATATAAGATATATGTATTATAGGCTAATAACTCTGATTAGATTCGTGAAATGGCGACAAAATGTCAATCCAAAAAAAAAATTCTTTTCTTTTAATAAATATGAATTTGCATTCTGTACCAACCACTAACTCAAAACTTACTATTGTGCACAACTTGTGTCATGTAATGTTTTGACTTGATTTTTTCTTTTTTCAGGGTGGCAATCCTTGCTTTCCCTAACTTACCTTGTTCTTTGAAGAATTACAGCGAGGTTAAGGAACTCCTCGACCGCTGGCAGTACAACACACGCCAACGGTGGTGGAGTTACCACTCCTCACTATATCCAAGAATTTCGGTACTTTTATCCAGTAGTACCAACCGGCCTGGAGATAATGCTCTGTTTGTAATGCAGTTTGTGGTTGATAAAACCGCACCGCTGAAGTCAAGGCCAAAAAAGGCCATTGGACTTTAAAGAAAAATAACACCAACTTGACAAAAACAATTTTACTTGCTGCATTTTTTCGAGGAAGTTGGCAATGCTGGAAACAATAAAAACTATAAATGTTACAGTTCTGTTAGCATAAACTCGTTCTGTTATTACGTTTTTTACAGTCATTTGATTTGATTTAATAGTTTTTCGCATTTGTAATAGTGAAATATTTGTCAATGTAATTTATATCCGATATTGAATGATATAATACAACTCGAGGAATTGATATGTCAAATGTGTCATTAATCAAGTTTGACATTTTAGACGGAAATGACATTTATCATATGACAATAAAACGTTTTAGTTTGTTAGGTTGGCACGTCTTTGTAATTATAGCTATCTTCACAATAATTACACCTTTTACGAATCCATGTTTCCCAAGCAAGAATTCCGCATTTTTTATTCATATTAGTGAGCCCGTTGACAATGACCGGTTTTACACTAGTATAATGACTTTTCTTACAACGCTAAATCTAAAAATAGCATAACAGTTGGTACAATTTAAAATTAAACAGTGCCAACTTCACTCTGTATTAGAGATGCGACAGTGTCAATGTAATTTTGATAAATAAAATAGAGGTGGGAACACAGATGTGACGCCAACTTCAGATCGGTGATTCTCGGATTTGAGATGGGTGCGTGTTGGTGCCCAAAATATTTTTTCCAAAGTATAAAAAATGCTTCCAGGCAATGAACCGACTGTGTCCGCCAACGCTCAGTTGAACATGAACTTGATGCCATTTACCTCGGCCATGAAATGAAATCTGAAGGCCGTTCCCCTCTCCTCCTTTCTAATACTAATAGCATACGCGCTGCTATATCTCTGTGTTTTAGTTAGTGGCGTTTTCGCCATTTTGAAATTTATTTTAAAAAAATATTCGATATGTAACCGGTTCTATTTTTAGACTGGTAAAGCGGTAAAACTTCATCCTGTTTTTGTGGTGAAGTTAGCAACGGAGTTTGAATTTGGCGCTAAAGAGCGTGTCGAAAATTTAATTAGTTTGTATTATATGACATCCTCATACAAAAAACAAACAAATTAGAATGAGAAGTCCTTGAAACCATCGCAATGGAATAATTCATCAATTTTATTTCTTTGCACTAGTTCGGTTTCATCGAACCGATGAGGAATTTTTCTGGTTGCTGCTAGTGAAACTGAAACTTCCGTTCAAACCGGAATGCTAGAAACAAGATTGCAAGTTGGAGAAAGAAAAAAATTAGAAAAAATTTTGTATGAATTATAATGTGTTAGGTTGATAGAAAACTAGAAAAATCACCAGACTGTTATACATTTGATATTTTTCATGTAGACATATTTTGTATGGAATTCTTGGCATACATGTTTACAAGAGATTAAATTTTATATTTGATAAGTTTTATTGAAATTTAATAGCTTTCGATAGCTAACTAAACCTAGATTCATTACAATGATTTCAAAATAGAGTTAGCAACATGTGGAAGAATGTGGGATTCAGGGTGACAGAGAAAATATAATTTCTTTAATTTTTGTCAACTTAATTTCAGAGTCATAGACA